AGCAAGGAACTACTTAACTAGTCATAGTCGTCACTAAGTCATTACTAGTCTGTCGTGCCAGGGCGCTGTGTCTGCACAGCCTTGTACAGAACCCTGTTCTTGTGGAACTGCTGAGTCAACACCTTCAGCCGATCCAGGACTTTCCCGCCGCAGGGGTAAATGCAAAACGCCTTTTGCATGGGACTGCCCGCGCACGTCACCGCAAGCCTTGCCTTCTCCGCCTCACAACTGCTAAGCTTTGCGCAGCTTGCTTTGAATTTTATCTTCGTGTGATAGTGATTGATTACTACTCACGACTAGACTCTAGACCTCTAGACTCTAGACTAGACTGAAATACAAGACTTATGAGATTAGTTAGTTAGACTAGTTGACTAGTTATAGGTTCAAATAAAGTTCCAGGCTTAAGCTGGTTTAAGTCGAAGCTTAAGTTTAAGACTTAAGTCTTAACCTTAAGCCTTAAGCCTTAATGAACTACAATCTACAATGCCACAAGGCACCTAAGCCTCGCCTTCTCCACCAGGTCTTCACTGCACGTCCCAGGCTGCTGCAACAACTCGAGCATGCTGGACATCTGGGAGAGGTCGGCCAACGTTTGTCGAAGCCCCTCGTCCTCAAACTCTGTCGGCTCGAGCAGGGCGACGTAGTTCACCACAACAGTGAGTCGTTCCACCAACTCTTCATCCTGAGCATCTGCGCTGTCTGCTTTTGCTGCTGCTGCTGCAAGCGGCAGACGCAGAACTTCTTCAGAGCAGGCGCGGATGCTCCGATACACGAGCTCTGTGGCTGACGTCCCTGGCAGACCAGACGTGAACTCATCCTGCTTCAAATTCCGGACGAGCGCTGCAAGGTCTGCCCATGCCTTGGCAGCAACCAGCGCAGAAATGCGCCGTGTGACCCAGGTGACAACAGCGGCTGTGTCCACAGGCACCCCGGCCTCCTGGGCGCCCAATATGGCGCTCTGAAGAAAATCGGCCTCAGACTCCGGGCCATCCGACGCACCCTGGCTAGCGATCAAGGGGCCCGTCGCTTCCAGGCGCCGCTCCATCAACCTGAACGTTGGTTACCGTCAGTGAGTTAGTTAGTTGCTAGGCTAGGCCATGCACCACGGCAGACGCGTTCAATCCACTTTGTTCATTCAACTAAGGAATCTTTTTTGTATTTCGAGATAGATAGTCTGATAGTATCAGATAGTCACTCACAGATGATAGTCATTACCCCGCTGACCTCAACTCAGCATCCGATATATAC